CCGTGTTCCCATGGATAAAAAATAATACAGCAAAATTTTAGACGAAATATCAAATTTCATAACATTCACGCAAAATTTTTTAAAAGTAATAGCCTTCTAGCGAAAAAATTAATCTTTAACCACTGAAAATTTCAAAGCAATTGGTCCAGTATTCGAAGAGAAAAGCGACTTTTTAAAAACGTGTCAAAGAACAAGAACAAGAACAACAACAACAACAACATAATATTGAAACGATCGTTATGTCCATTTCGTGTCCAATAATAACATGTTCAAGACCTTACTGGCCTAAGACACAGATGTGCGACATGCAACCCAACAAGTTTAGGACTGTTGCGTTATAGTAGGACAACAGACATGAAATATACAAAAAACTCTTATGCAATACACAAGACAAAGAGGTACGGCACCACGATAATATGTACGATAGACAGTTTATGGCACGTGCATGTCCCAGGTTCTCATGTGAAGGGATGGGAATAGGGTATAAATTGCATTTTTGTGTTTTTTACAGTAGATTGTACGAAACAAGTAAAATAAAATTTAGACATGAACTTGCCAAAAACCAACGTTGGGTGGGACCACGACACAAAAGGATTAGGTTCTAATGAGGTAAACAATAAACGACATATGTAGAAATTCTTTGTTCACACTCGAGTTGTTAATCATAAATTGTATGCGAAAAAGGTAATGAGAGCAATAGAGTCTGGCATAAAATGCAGGTCAATTTCGTAGGCGCTATTGTGTGGAGTTTATTGTTACCACGTCCAATGAGCATATTATATACAATGAGTGGAAACTTCCAAATATTTGCTCACTAATCCATTGTACCCTGCATTTTTACGTCGTCCAGCTAAATGGTTCGTTGCATATTAAGAAAGCACATCGTTCGCTGCAAAAATCCCTTGTTTCAGCTGGATCAAGTGCGAAATTTGTCGTATTGAGGCTTTTAATTTTTCGATTCGTGTTCGGTTTTGGGCTTCGAAATATGGTACGTTGAAAGCATACCAACTATAAGCATATGCATATTAGGAATACATATCTATTAGGCAGAAAACGTAGCTACAGAACAGAATATGAATCAGTCGCCACGTGGGGTGCGGTTATTTGCTGTAATTATTCATTGATATAACATGGGACTTACATATTTATCCAAGGGGAGAGGAAAGCCGATAGAGCCGAAAGCCTGATAAATGGCGAACCACGGCCTCTCCAAATAGCTATGTGCTCCATATGAACCCCCAGGCTGCCTGGACTTTGTGAGCTATTCGTATACTCAAATAAAAATACTGATTTTAACTATAAATTACTCTGGGATACCTTGACATTTTGTTTGCAAATTTGCCATCTTCATGTCTTGTGAATTTACACAAAAAAGTTTGTTTTTTATTTTATTATTTAGAGTACATTTTGTTATCAATTATGATTTTTGCATGTATATTATTTAATTTTAACGATCCTTCATATAGTCATATATATAGATACTGTTGATTTGGATGCCCAGTAAACCAAATTATTTTTATATAAATTTATTCGAATATTTTAACGAACATCGGCGAAGATGTTAAAAACTATTAAGGAATGTATTCACAACAAAAATTAATTTTGTTCTGATTTTTATCTTCTGTGTTGGATTTGTATCACAGTTACGGTCCCAATTTTGAGCAAACAATATTATCATTACTGACCCCGTATGGTTGTATCGCTCCTCCCAGTTTATACAGCTATACCAAATAACTTTGCTTTTATTGCTGCAATGCTTGTTTTTCTGGTTGACGAATAATAAATCTCTATCTCTGATACCACAAATGCTTGATTTGCTTCTCGAAACTGTCGTCCCTTCTTCACAAAAGTTGAAATAACGGATTCCTATTCTAGTACGATTAGAATTATATCGGTACTGGTAAATAGATTAGATACAATTTGCCAAGAATACTGTGGTATCTGGGTATGGGCCTGGAAGCAAAATAGCCAGATACCGTACGGAAAATGAGATAACAATACCTGAATATGGTGAACGTACATTTGAACCCATACATATGCACCCGTATATCCGTGAGTTCAATCTATATGAAGGTGTTAAAATCCATGGGTTAGGGTTAGTATGGGTTCAAATATCCGTAAAAATAAAATTCCATAGGTGCAATTGTCGTTGGTTCAAATGAAATGGAACCCCTGAATATGATAATTACTCTACTGTCAGTAGTTGCAGTAACTTACGGTACCGTAGGTACTGTGTCAGTTCACAGTCTGTGACATAAATACCGCATCTAAACGAAGGTAACTTGATTTTAGAGTGCTAACCATAAATAACTTAGAAATACGCGTAGCTTGTCGCAACAAACAAACGTTCGGCTTAAATATTTGGTGGTAAATGGAAAGCTGAGAAGTTCATACCTCGTTACTCATGCGGAACCTATGACGTCACACAGAGTGGCATCTCTATGTTGACCCTCTATACTTAAAGATTAATCACGAGATACGATCTAGCGGTGTGTAATGTGTATCTATCGCTCTGACTCACTAGCGTCAAAACTTGGGCATCAAACACGCACACACACATTCAGCGCGTCTCGAAAATCTCTCGCTTTGTAAAAATCCAGATCTCTTCATCACTAATTAATTAATAACTCGCTAATTATACGGCATAATTCATCCAAAATCAATAGGCTACTGGTCCGAGATATGATGAATGCACATGCAAAAATGCAAAATTGGAGCAGATTCAACCACGCCTTCGTGAGATATTGCGTGAATCTAACAGACAGACATACAGACAAATACCTATCAACATGCATGAAATTTTTTTCTCAAACCAAAAGGGGGGGGGGGGGGGGTTAATACCAGTGGTGGGATTTAGCCCGTTCTATAGAACCGTCTCACGGAATTTAATGAAATCAGCAAATGGGTCAGCATTACTAAAAAAAAAACATGTAACAGAACCGGCCGAAAACTATGACTTTTGTGATGGAACCAGCTGACAAAAAATTTGAATCCCACCACTCGTTACGAGTTACGACCCATGTAAAGGGGGACGTGGGGCTTTGTATTCTTTGATATAGGATGGGATTAACATATTTACTCATGTGGAGTGGAAAGAGATAAGCCGATTCCCTGCTATTCTTCAAACTTTTGTCTTCGTTTTTATTGTCAAGATATCCCAGGCTGCTAGAGTGATTTGAAATCGGAGAGCCTTGGGGCTTCGTATGTAGTGCCTTATAAACTAAGATTGCGAGAAGCTGTGGTTCGCCATATATTTAGGACTTCTTATCCCTTTCCTTTCCCATGAATAAATATGTACCTTAATCCCATGCTATAATCAGAAATAACCGCACTTGACTTCATATTCTGTGCTATATGCATTCCCAATAAGCATATGCTTATAGTTAGTATGCTTTCAACGTACCATACTTCGAAACCCAAAACCGAACACGAATCGAAAAATTAAAAGCCTCAATACTGCCAATTTCGCGACCGGCGCAGCCGAAGCAAGGAATTTTTGCAGCGAGCGATATGCTTTCTTCATATGTAACGAACCATTTAGCTGAACGACGTAAAAAATGCAGGGAACAATGGATTAATGAGCAAATATTTGGAAGTTTCCACTCTTTGTATATATGCTCATTGAACGAAGTAACTGTACAAAGCTAATAAACCATGAAAAAATATGCAGGAACTAGAGACAATAGATCAGTGGATTGCCCGAGACTTGTTTCCTGAGTAATGGGAGTTGGTTGCATCCACGATGACATAGTTAGTCAAAGGGAGATATTTTTCATCTGCCTGTCTTTGCTCAACTTTTTTTCACCAATCATCAAAGAGCCCTTTGTATCTAAAAAATATTGCCTGGAGAGTAGAATTTCCTTACTGCACAAAAGCTAATATAATTCTAATAAATGTCTTCAAAGTTTTGATATAAATTCGGACGTCGTTTTTAAGCTTTTAAAACTGTTAGTCAGTGGATTCCCCAATTTGGGATCAAAACATGTGATCGATTCTTGTGCTATTGATTTTCTCACATACGAACAAAAAATTAGTGTGACTTCTGCTATTTCGAATATTATTATTTACGAAAACATGATCAAAGCAACTAGGGAGTTGATCAGTAAAAGATAAAAATATCAATGTGCAAATCTCAAATATTAGTAAATCTTTAACACGTAGTAGTTTTTCCCTTTTGAACAAATCCGCGACACTATACATACATACATACATACTATCTCTCCGACCCCTACCAAAAGTCATTCTCAAGAACTGATTACAGACACTTTGAATTTTTGCTGTAATACCTTTTTGACGATGTATTACCTTTAAACTAAGATCATAGCGTAAATGAAATGTGATACATTCTAATATATATAGATTCCCCATTATATACTTTGTGATACTTCGGGTATCGCTGCTCGATAACCATCTTTAGTTCTCCCTGACTTCTCTTTCGCATTAAAACCGTGTACTTTCGTAATTTGTGCCTGTGTTATAAACTTGATTGATTGATTGATTGATTGATTGATTGACTCTATATATTTACGATTGACTATGTGATCTCAATCTATATTTGGTTGCTTGGTGGCGCCAATCAGCCAAAAACAAAGCGTATATATTTTGGCCTAACCCTAAGCGCTTTTGTTGTCTTGTTTCAGATTCCGTTTCGCAATGTTGCTCCTTCTGTCCTTGGGTCGCCGTCTGTCTGAATTCAGGTCTTTCAGTCTTCGGGCGTGTGGGCAGGCTGTTACACCGTACTGCCGTATATCAGTATATGCCTATAGCCTATCCATTTTATTAACTTTTCATTCAATTTAGTTGATGTTTCAATATTCAAAATTGATAGAACTGTAGAAATGGAATTAAGGGGAATCACAGGCCTACAGTCTGATTTGCTGATGGAGTTGTTCTAATAATCTATTTTTTATGAATATTCGTGGTTGTAAAAATGCCAAACGGACATAGACTATAAACTGATATTCAGAATATAATTGTATCAAAATGATTGAGATACTGTCACTGTTTTTCAGTTTTTCCATAGAATTGGTTAAATAAAGTACCGGTATAAGATCTAAATATTTTTTTGACAATAGTTAACAAACACAACATTTTGCCAACTGATTTACTTCTGAAATTAGTATATAACTGAAAGAAACATCAGTGGATTAAAAGATTTTGTATCATACAATCAAATAAGGACTTTCACTGTGAAAAAATAAAATGTCTGGGGATGGGCGACACAGACAAAGTAAAATTGATGATGACAATGATCTTCAAAACAATCAACAACATAGGGATGAAGATGAACCTGATGCACGCCCTGAGCGTCCAATGACGGCACCGACTAGACGCCCAACAAGGCGCCGTGGACCTGATCCACCTGGTGCTGTTGGGGGAGAAGGTATCGAATGGCATCAAATTTTTTTTCATTTGTAATTCACTGAAAACTAATCATAATCATTTGGGATTTGTAGATAGATAGATAGATAAGGTAGTTTATTTTGAAAACTTAATATATACAAATTGAAAATGTCGGCTGGGGGTTAGGAATGACATATGCAAAAATTGTTACGCCACACCCACTAGAAGTTATTATGGTACGAGACTACACGAGACCCCAACTTCAGTTGGTTGAAGCTTGGGCCAGAAATAAATAAAATATATGCGAATGTATTGAACTTTCTGTCTGTTGTACTTTTAAAACACTTGTAAATTATCAAATCAAATAGGTAGATTCTTTCGGCTTGGATTTACATATTGCTTTTGAATTATAGTTAGATAGAAAATAGCTGCACTTCGGTTTTCAGACCTTCAACATGTGTTATTTTCTAACAAAAAATTGCTTACGAGACAAAAGCTATAGATTTACAGTTTAAAACGTATTATGTAAATAGTTTCAAAGAAAATGAAGTGGACTAGATCTGTGCCATAGATGACATTTATGGTACAGGGTGACTAAAAAAAACTGAACCTATAAAGTTTTAATTACTTTAATGTCATTAAAGAAAATTTATTTAATGATGCTTAAACTTATGTTTGTGTATGATTGTACCCAAAAGTTTCAGTAATCTAGGAAAAACAGAAGCCCTAAATTTCCTAATTCTATGAAAATGAAGAATTTATTTTGACACTTGAACCTATGTTTGTGTATTATTGTATCCAAAAATCTAAAAAAAAGCCACAAATTTCTTAATTCTATGAATATGAAGAAAGTTTATTTTAACACTTGAACTTATGTTTGTGTATGATTTTTCCCAAAAGTTTCAGTAATCTAGGAAAGACAGAACTATAAATTTCTTATTTATTTTCATGAAAATGAAGATTTTTTTCAAAAAACTTGGGAGTTAGTTTGTGTATCATTGTGCCCAAAAGTTTCAGTAACCTAGTACATAATAATCCAGTTGATCATGGTTGCTCTATATTTCAGGTATTTCGTATCAACGAGGACTAAGTGAACAAGAAAGAAGAGTTGGTGGACAAGCTCATTTACTCTTAGAAATGTAAAGTTGTTTTTTGGTTAAGTCATAGTTTTCCTAGCTGGTGTTATAGTCCTATATGTCAGTATTATAACATTAGACTGAGCATCTTTGTGAAATTTGAGCACAGTTAGACATATGAATGACTGTGATCTTCCCAGTTTATTGTAACATCTTTCTGAATTTGTCACTCTCAAGGATGTTGGATGTAGCTGGGCGCCTGGGCTTATAGAAACTGTACTGCTCTACACTAACTGCTAGCTAGAACTTTGTTGCCATTGCCACAAAGCATTTCTTCTTAAGGAAAGAATTTTGCGCATTATTTTCAGGGGCCTGTCGCTTGGATACCTTCTCTATGGCAATTGCTATCAATGTCTGTATTTTTCTACAGGTTTATTCTTGATCGTATACAGAGGGACCCAATGTCATCCAGGCATAGGGATCAAGTACAAACTGCAGTGTGTCAAGATGACGTAAGATATTTAACAATACTTTAGAAACATAAAAATATCTTGTTATTCTTTGAAAACTATACAAAAGAGAATATGTGTTTAATGAACTTGATTTGTTTCAGATGCAACAGGAAAAGCAAAGTTTTTCCGATCACGGAGAAGACCATTTAGACGATGTTGCTTGCGCTCTTCGAGATATCGGTGATCAACTTGCACAAGATTATGATTTGAATAAGTATTGCCTGTTTTTTATTCTTTGTTTCTTATTCAGCTATTATGGTTTAATAGAAACTGACAATTACCAATTGTTTGGCAGAGAAAACCCCCAAATATATTTTGTCTGGTCTGATGTTAGAAGTGATGACTCACCACAACACCTGATCTCTTTGTTCTTTCGGATATGTTTGCACTTCGCTAAAAATAAATAAAAATGTATATTCTAAATAAGGAAGTATACACAAGCATGAGGAAGTAAGCCAAAACCAAGCATGAATTATGGATAGGTTATACCTAGGTGGCAAACCAGTCTAAGCCAAGACAAACAAGTATCAAATGTTCTTAATTAATAAGGAATAAAAGCTCATTTTTAATATGATTATTATTTTTATTCTATGTATGCGCATTTTTATATGGTCCACACTTGGCTTATATCTTTTCATGATTATTGTTTGTCATGATCTTTTATTTCTTCAGCCTTATAGATATGGTACCAATCAAATCCCCCAAAGAAATCTTCATGAAAGTTTGCACACAAATGTTTGATGATGGACAGTTCAACTGGGGTCGCGTCGTTGCCTTGTTTTATTTTGCCTACAGGTTAATAGCAAAGGTATGTATGATGATTTTTGTACTTCCTTGTGTAAGGCAGACTTTTTCAACCTTTTTCGAGCCAAGGCACACTTTTTTCATTGAGAAAATCCCCCGGCACACCACCAGCTGAAAATGTGGGGAAAAGACCTAATATTTACAATATAAGTGTTATATTGTTAATATGAGCTTTTTTAACATTAAAAGAATGATGTTGAATCGGACATCTTGAATAGTAATCAAATAGAAACAAAGACAAAAAGACTAATCGCCACCTACTGCTGCTGCCACTTTTTAATATAGAACAGTACCGTACTAAATGATTACTCTGCCGGGCGCTACACCGCATAGACACACAAATTGGAGAATTTCCCACGGCACCCCTGACAATATTTTACGGCACAACGATTGAAAAACACTGGTGTAGGGTACTGACATCTGTAAATATAAGTACAGGATTTGAAATTTTAAAAATGATCAAATACGCTGAATTCTAAAAGAATAAATTACTTCATTTATTTTTATTGGCGATTTACTGCTTTGTATTAGACAACAATTGTGATAGAAAAGTTTATGTACAGGTGGAAAACTATAATTAATGAAAACAAGTGAAATACTAAATCTTGTATTGTATTGCTTGTATTGTTCAATTTTGCACTGAACATAAAAAATAAACTATTATTTTTTACAGGCTGTTGCGACAGCAGTTGATAGCATTCCATGGGTAAAAGAAATATTCAAATGGGCAATCGATTTTTTCTGTCAATATGTTGCCTGGTGGATCATACAACGTGGTGGATGGGTATGTACTGTTTATATTATTCATTATATTAATCGCGTAACTGTATTTCCAACCTCTTGATTTAAAACAAACTGCAATTTAATATTAAAAGTCAATATTTAATACAAGAGATTATGCAATACTAGTTTATCATGTTTTGAGCTTTGTGATAATGTTCTGTTATATTAAGATATATTCAGCTGGAATTCATATATTTGTACTATTACTGTTTGTCATTAGATTCGGTAATTTGCATTGATGCTGTTTAGGATTTATCTCACGTTTAATCTAAGAAGGCTTTTCAATAAATTTTTTTATAATTATAATCTGTCCTACTATAATCGGAACACCAGAAGTGTGTGTACCAATATGGAGGTAACTAATTTTGCTCGACTACTTTATATCAAGTTGTGTAAACAGACCAAATCCTATGGAAAGGGTGTAAATTCACTTGGCTAACACAGACAGTCCCCACAGTAATATATATGCATGAAGGTAGTGTATTGGTACTCGCAGAGTTAGGCATTAGGGGCTCCGTTTACTTATTAAAACAGTGACCTGCTAACTTTGTAACTGTCCAAAGAAGCAATAATGGCATTATTAAAATTTGACAACCGAGCGTCGAAATGTGGCAACAAGGAAGTAAATCATTATTTATAAGTTCCAATAGATAGTTTAAATTTTTATAAATTTATTGTGGGGCTCCATGAATAATACTCAACCTCTTCACAGGCTCCATAACACAAAAAATTTGAAAACAACAGCCTTAGAGCATTGAATCTGTTGCAGCGTGGCAGAATAAAAAAGTGTTCCCATTTGACTGAAATAAAACAGCAAAATTTTGGCTGAAAATATTGGTTCTCGTATGAAATTTGAAAAGAAGTACCGCAATTGCCTTACTGTACCAAAAATTTGAAAATTGATTGTTTCATTAGTGGCAGTGAAAATTGACTCCATCAACAAGATGATCAAAGCAATTTAGCAAAATAGACTATAGCTGACATGGGCAAACCACGACCCGCGGGCCAAATCCTCCCCGTTGGGTAATTCAATCTGGCCCGCCTGATGCAGCCACAACCAAACTAAAACCAAATTTTGATGTTTTAGCTAAAAAAAACTCAAGGAGTTTGTCAGGATTGTGATCAAATGTGGCGAGAGGCTTATCGTTTTCCTCTTTTGCTTTTGTAACATTGTAAATATTGTTAATAAAATTTTTTACGTCACTTATACATGGCCCGCCAGTTTAGAAGGGCAAAATTTTTGGCCCCTGGTCCAAAATCCCTGCCCACACCTGGTCTATAGGTACAATTCATGTTCAATAGAGGAGTAGGTATTTTGTCTGAGTAGTTTTTATTAGTGCTTCATTGTTTCAGGCTATGATCCGAGAATGGTGGGGACCATCAACAAGGACTATGTCAGGACTTGGAGTTATGGCTGTTATGACTTTAGTATATGTTTGGTGGAAGCAACAGTAGTTTAAAGAATCTTGATATAATCACTGTTCTTTATTTCTTTTTCTAAATTTTATATGAAGTTACTGAATACTGAAAAAAATCATTTTGAAAGTCAAACTTAGGAAATTCTTTTATAACTCAGCCAAAAAATTGTTTCAAAATATTTTTTAAACCAATACTGTATGAAAAATCTTGTCTGTTATTGTATTGAAAGTAAATGTCGAGTTTAATCCAAGCGATAAGCGATTATTTTATACTAAATTTTGACTTTGATAACTGTAAAACCAATGTCATATACTCTCCTATCTCAATGGCTGTTTGTTGCTTCCTTATTATCTTCAGATGAGAATTTTTGATTGAACTGGCTTGAAGGAAACATGCATATATAATATGCTGTGTGGATTGTACTTCATCTTCATATATAAACCACGATATTTAGTTCGGGCCTAAAATGTTATATCTATGAAAAAATGTATTCAATGAAGTGATTTTAATTGAAAAATAAGGGTATGATTATTTTGCTCTATGGAAGAGATAAAAAAATATTAAATTGTTCTTTGATTTATAATTTTGCAGATGAAAAAAAAAAGATAAATGGTATATTGTGTCTTTTAGGCGTAAAGTGGATTCTATATTTATTATAATATGCATAATTTAATCGACATGTTCTGGCTCTTGTATGGCTTTTCAGTATTCAGTAACTGTTATAGGTGCCAAATGTCTATTGCTTGGAGTTTGTAATTCAAAAATCTGTTGATGAATATGCACCATTTTTACGCTCTACTTCATTGGTTTGAAGTCGGCTATTTGTGGTACCACATCCCCCTTTTCTAGTTAGAAGACACTGAAACCTATTTCATATGAGCAATTATTTGCTTCAACTGTAATATTTTGGTCAATATAGATATGTTTTGGGAACTAACCTTGAAGCAAATTTTATATTTCTGAGCGGCAAATGGGAATATTACAATATATACAAATTGTGAAATTAGTTGAATATTTTCAGTTACTAATTTTAAATTGTAATAGACTTTTTTAAGTAGTGTGTGAACATATATAATCTATACTTTGATCAGCATAGAAGTGTGAACTCATTTTACCTTTTAAATATCAAGATTCAATTTGAATCAAAGTTTTAAATTGTGTGGGCGACTCATGCACTCACATTTTTTTTTATAGATAAACAATATTATATTCTTTCAACTAAATTTCTGATCATCCAACAAAGAACTATACATTGCCCTTAAGAGAAGATACCTCATCTTTCATGATGTTGAACAACTCATTGAGTGTAACGACATCTTATATTTTATTATCGACTACTGATAAAGGGTATCTTTGAATTGTCAACTCCACTGACTAATAGCATGTGCACTTCAATCATGGTTTTAGTTGCATGTTGTTTTATTTACCATAGAATTGTATTTTATCTTTCTACAGTTCTTTTTCTGTAGCTCTCATTCCGCTTCAAATACTACTTTGTAGTGAATTTTATTAATAATGAATTTTGTTCATAAATTTTGCCTTATTCTTCTAGTTTATATGGCATTGGCAGTAAGCTGATACAAATGGTTCCAGTGACTGGGGTTGGCTTTTTATCTGATATTGTATGGTGAACATTCTGCCTTTGGGGAAGCGTAGTTCCATTTGCTTAGAGTAGGGGTCTCCAACTCAAAAATATGTCATGGGCCACTTTTTGAACTTAATTAACGACGCGGACCACAAAATTGATACACAAAAAAAAATCTGAATGTATTTGTTGGAATTACACTTGAACCTCCTACCATTCGAGACTTTAAACATATTCATTTACTTGTGCTGGTTACTTGGCACGGTTTTGTAGTGGTGATAAACTCATTTTGCGCTACGGTAATTTGCTAGTCTTGAGACGGCATGCTAATGTTTGTCGTTTGAGGAGGGCTGATTTGGTAATTTTCATTGTTAAAAAAAAAACTGCTTGCAAATATAAGTACTTCCAAACATCACATATTAACTTTGCGAACCTTTCTTGAGACACAATGATCAGGTTATTTCGTCATACTAAAAATGTGTAATGAAATTATTGAATTTACAATTTAATTATTACAATAGAGTAAAAAATGTGTACTCTCCTAGTATGTGTACCAGGCCAGGGTTATGCCATTGTTTTATTCCGATTTTCCTTATTATAGATCTATTACGAGTTCAGGAACTGTCTGTGTTAGCAAAGTGAATGGGCTTCCGTCCATTTACACCACCTGATGTTAAATAACACGATAAAACCTACTCATAGTTGACATCGTACTATTTTAGTTTTTTGTGGAAACATCTTATCCAAGACGTGTGTTGGAGACCTCTGACTTAGAGCTTACCAGTGCATCTGTTTGAGCGTATGGGCCTGCCTCTATATAAGCAGCCCATTGGCTTTGATGGTAGTATTTGAATACTTTGTCCCTGCTCATGACAGGGATACGAGAAAATCGCTTGACATGAGCTCTATGCTTCTCCAAAGTTTCATAATGGCATGGGGATGTCTTGAACTACTCTTATAATTTCCACGCAACAACCTTACATGCTGACTAACACTTGCACCTCTGTCAAATACATCTATAGAAGTCTGAATCATTGTGTACCTCCTGTACTAAAGATTAAACGATGATCAAGCCATAGCACAATATTATGTATTACAAATAAAAAAATTTTAACATGAAAAATGCTGTTAGATACCTCCCATTAACAGCTCAAAAATGTAAGTTTTAGAAATATTGGTGACCAGGGCCAATCGAAAAAAATACTCATTTCAAAGGAAGTTTTAACTTCACAATGGTTATGTAAGCACACACATAGCATGTAAAGCGCCAACAAGCTCGCATGCTTCGCTGCACAACTTGATCATAACCAGTCATTTCCAGAAGATTTTTTTACCTTCACCAACATCAGATCAGGTAAGCCTACTTACTAATAAATCATACAAAGATTATACAAAAATTTACGAAATTGAAGATACATATTCCTAACGTGCTGGAAGACCATGCCAAAATTTCCCATATTGATATTAGTATACTGTGATATGATTGATTTTCACATAAGGATATTGACAACAAACTATGGCGTAACGCATACTGATGATATTAGTTTCCAAATATTCAAACATGAAATTGAAAGACTTCTCGAACTGTTCAGTATCACTTATTCGATTCATTCTGCAGTTGCATTTGTATAGTGATATTGATACAATGTTTGTGATATCTGTTCTTAAAATGGCCAATCCACAACTGGCATTGGCATCAACTCCGGCAGAAGCACAAAAATAAAACACTATCAACATCATTGGCGCACTTCTTCAAGAAATGGTCGTAATCATTTTGCGCAATATAATCACCAACGCATTTGTGATCGATCAATTCATTATTCCACAAATTTTCGATCATGTCATTGCCTTCCTATGATATTCGGCAGGAGCAACTTCATACTCATTGGTGTCAAACAAAGAGGAAGCGTTGTCCTTAATATAGCTGGGAATAAAACATAAATCACAGTTCAACAGTACAGATGAAGGTATCATCAGATTTGTTAGAAGCTATCTATAAAAATATACTAGTAGCATACATAACATTTGGGAATGACAAATTTGGTAGGGCTCGCATAGATTAGGATAATTTAAAATAAGAAACAGTTGCAGTTAGATATTTACCATTATAGTTTGCATCAAAATAAAAACTGAAGAATGAAATTAAAAATAGTTCACTCAAGTATTGAATCACAAAAATCACCTATATTCAATTTAATAACACTTTCAAAATTACATTCATATATGGCTATGTTTAATATCATTTACCGGTAGGATCATTTAGAGCTTTTAAATCATAAGTTATTAAGTTTTTCTTACTATGTACCAACCTTAAAAGTTTTTGAATATGCTTTATTAACACTCTCATATTCTTCTCATTTAAACTTGTGTATGTCAGCATTGAACCCATTCGAACTGAAAAATACTACATTAAATTAAGAATATCCCTAATAGAGGTGGATATTTTAAGTTATATTCAATGTAGAGGCTCCCATTATCAAAGTAGTTTAATATTATAAACAAACCACTATACCACTATGGAAAAAAAAAGTCTGCTATAAATTTAATTTCGATATTATGAGGGAAGATTTTCATACCGAACTACTAGGAATCAGTAGAGGTGCTGTGACTGCTTTACTGTTTTTTATACGACACTTGTTAACGTCTTTAGCTCTGAACAAGGCCCTGTGCAGTATCCAATCTCATTGCCTACCCAATTTATTACACCCTACAAGAGATGGTGGGCATAGGATTGGCTATGTAAATGGCAATGCCAACAAACTCAAGTCAAACCATTGCCGCCCCACATCCGTTTACAGCATCTTTGAATAGAAACAATTTCTAGCAGTCAGGTTTTATTTCCAGTACTACCATCAATATCTTAAAAATCTTTTTTAATTTGAATTTTTGTGATTTTATTAACACTACCAGTCTCGCAACTGGGCCATTCTATAAATAGAGTAGCACTGATGTGGGCTAAAATATCACTCTATTTTGGTTACTTACCAAAAAATCTGAGAAAATGCGGAGCACCATATAACTGTGACATATTTTTTTCTGGGTTTTTCTCCATGATCTCACCATACTGAGGTCTTTCAAATTTATACAGAAGCTGAGAGCCCAACATTACATTAAAATACTCTTTGATACCTTCCACCATCTCTAGTATTGTACTTGCTCTAAATAAAATATACTGTAAATAACTGTGCAAAGAAAACAAATTTCACATTGCTGGCGACATAACAATAAAAGAATCACAGCAATGATTGAGGACAACAGAAATGTCAGGTCTTATCTATAAATGTGTGAATATTTTGGTGTGAAGTCTAAGTTAAGTTTAATAATTATTTTTTAATTGAAGTTAATGATATTATTATTTTACAAACAAATGAAATTGCAAAATATTTTAACAAATTACCTAAGTTGTGTTAAATTTAGTTTGCTTTATAACCAGCTAATTTAGAATAAATCAGAAACTTTAACAACATCGAAGCATGAGGAATCATTTCAAGGCAATCCCTGTATGTCGAAATAGATAATTTATAAAAACTAATCATTTAGAAATATATCATGATATCCTAAGTTTGTCTAGTGCACTTCATAGTTCAATTACCTTTTTGATTCTTCATTCTCAAAATATGCTACATAATCCTTCAATATATCATCAACAGTTTTACGAGCTGGAAGATGATACAACTGAAATACATCGAAACAAAATAATCAAATAAAGCATTACTTTTACTGGTAAAAAGGTGATAGAAAAACACACGAGATATTTTTAAGTTATGATTTACAATAGAAAAAAAAATGAAATTTGCATAATAAATAAATAAAACTGATTATTGAATCGTGAGAGAAAACAAAAACTCGAGTAAAATTTTAAGCGTACAGATTTTAGATGGAAAGGTATTGATAAAAGGTTAAAGAAGTAGTACTTGTTCGCTCACCCAAAAGAATTAAAACTAATTAAGGCACACACGATCACCGAGACGCGATCGGAAGAGAATAAAGCAAGATATAAAATCAATTACTCAGTGAAAAATAACAATAATGATTAAATTTTTTTGCCACACCATATTAATAATTTGATGAGGATTGCCAAATTGGATACCGAATTAGCCAACAGGGGTTTTATACTGTGTTAATAAAACATTGCTTAAATAGGGTTATATATGAATGATGACAATATAAATGAAAGGATTGAGCCTCAAAAAATTGGTTCTTACACAGGATGTAATGATTGATTCCATATATAGCTACCGTAACTAATATGAAAAAATAGACATAAAATAAATTTGAATAATTGATTGCGATATAAATTGATAATAAATATTGAAGATTCTGATTGATCTACCTGCTTTTGTCTTGTTATCAAATCCCAGTCATCCACAAGCATTGGCTTTAATTCATCAGGCATTTCAATCTTCACTTCAACTTTAGCAAAGAACGAGTCCTCCTGTTAAGTAAGAATAAATATTATTGTGCAAAATTACCCAGAGCAGAAAAGTCAAATAATGTAGCCATAAGGGTTTATGTAACATGATAATATATAAATTGCCAAGAATCAGAAAAATTATTTCTCGAGTTACTTTTACCCAGAATTAGTAGAAATATCCATCAGATATACCATTAGTGTAATTTCTTTTTTAACTTGTTATTAAAGGTATCTATAGCAATTAACGAGCAAATTCCACATCTTCCCCCATTGTCTAATCCTAGTATCTTTAAACATTCAAGTTGAAAACCCACCGTTTCAACAGTGGGATCGACTTTGTTTTTCTTCTTTTTAGGTTCAGCTGAAGTATTTGGCTCTGTAGTAACTGTAGAAATAAAATTTTATTGTTATGGCCCAATTACATAATCTACGAATATTACAATTGAGAATAATACATTTTGATTCATGTGAGATGTGACCCAAAGAATAGTCCATTGAGAAATGTTCATGAGAGCAATCTTTACACATTTTCCAAGTTTTCAGTTTAACTTTAGGTCCCTGGACAAGCTTGATAGTTATTAATTACTATAATTAAAAATACTAACTGCTTATTTCAACGAAATGTGAAATTTACCTTTTTTCTTTTCAATACTTTCCTTTTCTGTTTTTGGTTTAGGGTGCTTGCCTCTTCGCAATTTGTCTTTTCTACAAACAAATGAAAAAAAAATGGATTTGAATGGATTGGATGATACTGGTGATAAATTCATAGAATATACGATAGCAATGGGAATCATACTGGATGGTGACAATGTAATATGATGAATATTGAGTTTTTTTCGACCTGTTTTAACACATATTAAAAGAAAAAATCAGGCAGTTTAGACTCCACTCCACATTTAATGAAGCAGAATAAGTGGGTGATGGGTTGCTTAGTTGGCTACAACTAGAATGGCATTTTACTATTGATAAAATGATGAATAACACCAGTCAATATCTAATTTGAGGATGGAAGAGATAATGAACAGTGATAATGATAAACACATCAGACTTACCCATGTTGTTTCAGAAGATCCTTTTGTTTCTGTAAATTAGAGTCATTATATTTCAAAACCCGATTCTCTTGTACCCATTCATCCCACGATTTGTTCCAACCATTGTAGTGAATAAGATAAGCACATTTATGGTCTCTCACTTCAGCTTTTACACATTTAGCTTCATAAAGAAGTGGCCCATGAAAGCAGAGAACTCGTTCACCTGTTGGAAAATGACAGAGTGAAAATTAACCATTGCAGTATTGAGAATACCAAATGTATCTATTTGTTTATGAAAATTATAAGTAAGGTTATTTTTCATGTTTATGAAATTTTCTCCGACCTAGACCAAATATTTCCTTATAAAAATAAATTCTGTCTGATTGAAGTATCATGTTAATTGGAATCTAAGGCAACTCTTAAAGCAAATTTCTATCAAGTTCAGTTTAACATAGAAGACCCGCACAATTTCTAAACTCTTGGTGAACTTCCAAATAATTTTGAATATTCCATTGGGTATGAACATTTTTGAACCGCATAATAATTAACATAAAAGAACTCAAAAATTAGAGTTTGAGTTAAACTAAAATAATTTATCATTCATCGCAAGAAATATGTTAAGATTTAGTAATAATTTATTACCATCACTGAATTTGAGCTTGGAGCTGTCAGATTTTGGTGCCATTTCTTCTAAATATCCTATTACACTGGCTGCTTATGTCCATATAACAAAATTTCGTTCCCATTATGTTGAAATATATATTTGCCCATATTGTTATCCAGTTCCATAAAAAATTTTATTGTTTCAGTAATAATATCCATGTCACCGAGTGAGGTGAAAGTTGATATAGGATACAGCATATGTAATAAAATAAAGCAAATATAACAATTACAAAATATCAAGTGGCCCACTACTGATGAACTAATAAGAACCAATGTCATCATGAATTGTCACAGATAAGGTTTTGTGCATATATCGAATTTCTGTTATAATGTTTTTTCAATTATCATTCGATTCATGCTGTTGCAGTGCTGACTTGGGCACCTGCTATAGGCCATGTTCACAATACAACGTAAGTACTTCTAGTTGGCGTGGCACAACCATTTTTGCTTGTCCTTCCTAAGCCCCACCTGAATTCAAAGAAATACACGAACTACTGGTTTCATCTTTTAAGCTACTCCTGTTACGAGACTCAATAAAGTTCATAATAACTAAGAACCGAGATTCACAAGCATATATGTAGATAAAAACATGGAGAGTAATGCAGTTGCAGAGTTTTAGGGACACGAAAATATTTTGGGAATGACTTCCAAATCACGCAATAGTTTGTTTTCTGCACTTCTCTCTTGTATTCCCTTCCCTAATCGTTTATATTTCTTTTGAGATCAATTTATAACCGTAAGTTAACAGGTAACTCTAACCAACATGAGCTGTACAACTTCATAAATTAAGCGGAAATGAGGAAAAGGGTGGCACAGACGAACTATATTACGTAAGAATGCAGCCAAATTAATGCTGGGCTCTTCTCGAGAGCTTACTCATTTGTTACACATAATACATTTTTTGTAGCCATATGTCATGAAAGAGAAAAAAAAAGTTTAAATAAATAACGAATTGTTAACATACGATAATGAATAAATTAACAACTAGTTTCATCAGATAATTCAGAGTCTCCAAACTTTTTTTCTGAAGGAAATGATCTCGTTTTCGAAGATTTTAATGGGCTCGCGTGCCAGTGGTTGCCCACCCCTGCCCTAGTACATACCGGTATATATGGGATGAAAATGATATTTTATCTTCTCCCTTTTTTGTATTATTATTTTGTCCCAATATCAGTATATATAAAATAAAAAATAAGCACAAACAACGATTATCGGTTTATATAACCATAATATCATTGTGATCATTAAATTTCGTTTTTTTTATGCATGTAGAATTTTCTATTCTTTAATAGGCCTACTGCCTATTTTTCATTATCACAACTATGACTCATAAATTTAAAAAAAAAATCAAAAATTGATTCGTGTATCGTGAATTCTGTATCTCTATAGAGCAGTGTTTCCCAACCCGAAACGAAAACTTAACTATCAGCCAAGTTACGATTTACATTAGAATTTACAGAAAACATAATAAGCAAGTTTATTCACATAACATTAATCGAGTCAATAATTACTGGTTACTAAGTAGGGCTGCTCATATAGGCCTATTCGAAAATTCAACTATTAGAATATAAATTTACTCTTCGAAAATTTAGTAACAAGTGACGCGACGGGTCACTTGCGCGCGCTTAATCAAACGATCGTATTTCCCAATTCATTTACAGATTTCCGACGAAAACACGAGTCTGCACGTGCTTCGATAGATACCTAAATGGTGTTTCGCGAGTTTGAACAACGAGGAATACATTTTTTTTCTGATGCTAAGTGTCAAGGGTGGCAACCCAAATTTTTTGAATTGAAAAGCGGAAATACTAAAAATAAAACGGAGAACACCTTAAGTTTTGTTTTATGATGGTCCGCGATTAAAAACGCTTTTTTAGACAATACAAATCGCAAAATTTCGGGTGCTGCGGTAGTATACGTACCAGGGCATTTTCCCTCAGAATTCCTTGGATTTTCCCTCAAGATTTTTTGAATTTTTCCTCAGGATGCCTCCACATTGGTACGAACAGCTTAGATTTGTCGAATTCACAAAAATACGAATCAAAACAAAATATAGTCAGGCACTTTCACGCATTTTTGTGTCCACGCATTGTCATGATATTTTCTGAGTAGTATTGCTTTTATTTCGTCAACACGTCCGCAGATTAAAATGATCACAATTAAATTAATAATAAAACAAGGCGATAAATGTGTATTTTTGATTTACTAATATACTTAAAATATATTTTTAGTAAGTACTAAATCAAGTTGCACTTTCTGGAAATTTATAGCAGATAGTAGGCGAGTTACCATGAACACAATTAAATTAAAATAAAAGGACATTTTAAATTCTCGTCGTCGTCATTGGATTGAATATTGTGCGACAGAAAAGGCCATTTTATACACTAAAAAATTCGGCTCTTTTAACGAACGCGTAATTGCGGCGAATTTCGACGACGACGATAAAGAACTGACTAACGTCATCGATCTCTGCAACGAAAAAAATAGCTGTTCGATTTTGGGTGCTCATCTGCGCGTCTTGGATGGCAGTTTGTATAGTTTGAAGGGCTCTATCACGTCACTGTGACGTAATTTTCGGAGGGCGTAGTCAGGTGGGGGTTAGGATTGACATGTGAAAAAAATTTTTTGCTGCGCCGACTAGAAGTATGTTAGGTACGAAACTACATGAGACCCTAAATCTGTAAGTTAACAAATTGTAAATTAGGAATCTCATAATGAAGTTGAGGTTCAATATCAGAATCTATGTTGTTTACACTTTACAATATTCACACATACTTGTGCAATGCGAACCCATGCAATGTATTGTTGAGAACTATAGATTTGTAATACAGTTGAATTTAAAAGCCCTTAATTTTGTTTTTACGGTTGATGGAAACGAATTTTCAAATATCTGTCCCTCTGCAAATTGCTATCGCATCTCGTCACATCCTACATATGAAACTTCTACTACTCTTTACTGGCCACCGCAATGCCAGCAAAATTCCAGCCAAATCTTGAAAAAGTTGTACCGAATGTCATATCGAAGTGTGGCCGTGATTTTATACGAAATAATTGACTATTTCGAATCTTTTCGGTCACAGGGGAAAAAATTCGAAAACACCATTGGATAGAAGACTACTAATAGAACTTATTCCAACAAAAAAATTGAAGTGACATCCCACGAGTTTTCGAACTTTTTGAGGTTCGAAAATGTTCAAATACACAAAAATTAAACTTTTTCAGGAAAAATCGAATTATTTCGAATCTTTCCGGTCTTGGGGGCAAAGATTTGAATATACCATTGGATAGAGGACTAACATAAAAATATATTCCAACAAAAAAATTGTAGTGACATCCGGAGAGTTTTCGAACTTTTTGAGATTCGAAAATGTTCAAATACACAAAAATTTAACTTTTTCATGAAAAATCGAATTATTCCGAATCTTTCCGGTCCTGGGGGCAAAGATTTGAATATACCATTGGATAGATGACTAATATAGGAACACATTCCAACAAAAAAATTGTGGTGACATCCGACGAGTTTCCGAACTTTTTGAGGTTCGAAAATGTTCAAGTATGCGAAAATTGAACTTTTCCACAAAAAATCGAATTATTTCGAATCTTTCCGGTCTTGGGGGCAAAGATTTGAATATACCATTGGATAGAAGACTAATATAGAAACATATTCCAACAAAAAAATTGTAGTGACATCTGACGAGTTTTCGAACTTTTTGAGGTTCGAAAATGTTCAATTACACAAAAATTGAACTTTTTCATGAAATATCGAATTATTCCGAATCTTTCCGGTCTTGGGGGCAAAGATTTGAATATACCATTGAATAGAAGACTAATATAGGAACATATTCCAACAAAAAAATTGTGGTGACATCCGACGAGTTTTCGAACTTTTTGAGGTTCGAAAATGTTCAAGTATGCGAAAATTGAACTTTTCCACAAAAAATCGAATTATTTCGAATCTTTCCGGTCTTGGGGGCAATGATTTGAATTTACCATTAGATAGAGGACTAACATAAAAATATATTCCAACAAAAAAATGGTGGTGACATCTGACGAGTTTTCGAACTTTTTGAGGTTCGAAAATGTTCAATTACACAAAAATTGAACTTTTTCATGAAATATTGAATTATTCCGAATCTTTCCGGTCTTGGGGGCAAAGATTTGAATATACCATTGAATAGAAGACTAATATAGGAACATATTCCAACAAAAAAATTGTGGTGACATCCGAAGAGTTTCCGAACTTTTTGATGTTCGAAATTGTTCAAGTATGCGAAAATTGAACTTTTCCACAAAAAATCGAATTATTTCGAATCTTTCCGGTCTTAGGGGCAAAGATTTGAGTATACCATTGGATAGAAGACTAATATAGGAACATATCCCAACAAAAAAATTGAGGTGACATCCGAAGAGTTTTCGAACTTTTTGAGGTTCGAAAATGTTCAATTACACAAAAATTGAACTTTTTCAAGAAATATCGAATTATTTCGAATCTTTCCGATCTTGGGGGCAAAGATTTGAATATACCATTGGATAGAAAACTAATATAGGAACATATTCCAACAAAAAAATTGTGGTGACATCTAACGAGTTTTCGAACTTTTTGAGGTTCGAAAATGTTCAATTACACAAAAATTGAACTTTTTCATGAAATATTGAATTATTCCGAATCTTTCCGGTTTTTTGGGGCAAAGATTTGAATATACCATTGAATAGAAGACTAATATAGGAACATATTCCAACAAAAAAATATTTCTGACATCCGAAGAGTTTCCGAACTTTTTGATGTTCGAAATTGTTCAAGTATGCGAAAATTGAACTTTTCCACAAAAAATCGAATTATTTCGAATCTTTCCGGTCTTGGGAGCAAAGATTTGAATATACCATTGGATAGAAGACTAATATAGGAACATATTCCAACAAAAAAAATTGTGGTGACATCTGAAGAGTTTTCGAACTTTTTGAGGTTCGAAAATGTTCAAATACACAAAAATTGAACTTTTTCATGAAATATTGAATTATTCCAAATCTTTCCGGTCCTGGGGGCAAAGATTTGAATATACCATTGAATAGAAGACTAATATAGGAACATATTCCAACAAAAAAATTGTGGTGACATCCGAAGAGTTTCCGAACTTTTTGATGTTCGAAATTGTTCAAGTATGCGAAAATTGAACTTTTCCACAAAAAATCGAATTATTTCGAATCTTTCCGGTCTTGGGGGCAATGATTTGAATTTACCATTAGATAGAGGACTAACATAAAAATATATTCCAACAAAAAAATTGTGGTGACATCTGACGAGTTTTCGAACTTTTTGAGGTTCGAAAATGTTCAATTACACAAAAATTGAACTTTTTCATGAAAAATCGAATTATTCCGAATCTTTCCGGTCTTGGGGGCAAAGATTTGAATATACCATTGAATAGAAGACTAATATAGGAACATATTCCAACAAAAAAATTGTGGTGACATCCCACGAGTTTTTCGAACTTTTTGAGGTTCGAAAATGTTCAAGTATGCGAAAAATTGAACTTTTCCACAAAAAATCGAATTATTTCG